TGGAAGAGACTGTGGACCTGTCATCTGACAGATTACTGATGATGAATGAAGTCACGGTTCCATACACGCCATTGTGACAAAACACCTGCCATATCGTAAAATCTGCACACAGTGGGTTCCACATCAACTCATGGAGGAACAGAAGACTCAGATAATGGCTGCATCACTGGGTCACTTGCAACTATACCATGAGGAAGAGTATGCTTTTCTGTCCTGTATTGCCACTGGAGACGAAACTTGGTGCCACCATTTTGAACCCGAGAGCAAACAGCAGAGCCAACAGTGGAAAGACATGAATTCTCCCCCACCAAAGAAATCCAAAGCCGTACACACAAGTTCCGGTAAAGTGATGATGACATTCCTTTTAGACTGCAAGGGCCCTCTGCTTGTCAAATTTCTCGAGCATGGGACCACAATCAGTGCACAGTGCTATGAAGACACTTTGCAGAAACTGAGACGTGCCATAAAGTCAAAACGCCCTGGAATGCTACCGAACGGCATTATCCTTCTTCATGATAATGCGCGCCCCCACACTGCCAACTCTGTGAGGAATACGCTACAGAGATTTGGTTGGGAAGTGCTTCAACATCCCCTCTACAGTCCAGATCTCTCCCCATGTGATTTTCACGTTTTTGGAGACCTGAAGAGAGACATTTGTTGACATCAGTTTGCATCAGATGAAGACGTATGTGGCTGGGTAAAGCTGTGGTTCCATAAACAGCCCACAAGCTTTCTCAAGGATGGGACTGACCGTCTTATCTCCCAGTCTGATAAATGTATTAACAGTTTTGGAGATTACTTTTGAGGTAAGAAATGATCTTTAATATGTTTTGGCTTCTGACCCATTTTCATTTGACTGCCACTCATAGTTTCTCCAAGCTTTATTAACATCCACCTGAGTGTCTTTTAAGTTTTCCAAATCTGCGAACCTATCTGAGATTTCAACACTATATTACTCCTTACCCTCTACCTCATTTAATTTCTTGAGACTGAACCTCTCCATATGAACTCTGTGCTCTGTTTGTTTACTCACTGCCAGTCTTTCCCTACAGCTTCAATGGACTATATCAATTATTCATGCAAACTTATAACCTGGATCCTACCTTCACGGAGCTTTTGCTGATAACCAAGACCAATCTGACTCAGATTGTTGACCTTGGCTCTAACTGAAGCCTCCTTATCCAACTCATATTTGCAGCCAATGCCAAATCTGGTCTCATTTGATCCTGCAGTCCAATTTAAATCGATAGCAGTGTCCAGTTTGGGACTCACTTTTTGGTATATGGATCCACCAAATTCCTGACCATCATTCCTGCCACAAGGAAATATTAAAAAATGGTAACACAAATTCAAAATTAAAAATGAAAGGAATAATATATGATGCCATATCATGCTAAAATGTAAAATAAAAATACTTACACATTCGTATGAAGGATGAAGTCCCCAGAGGAATAGCCCAGTGCAATGTTATTTTTTGTAATCTTAGATTTTTGAGAGTCAAATCGTAACTGATAACCCACAAGCCAGCCTGAAATTTGTTGTAATACAACTTTAATGCAACTGCTATATACACCTAAATGTTTAATTCCCTTCAAGTATGTATGTTTTGTCATGTAACCACACCTCCTAATTTAGCCATATCACACATTACTGAAAAATGTATGACCTAAATTAGAATCATATAAAACTTCATGGACAAAAATTAAGCACACGTAAACAGAAAAAATGTGTGAATTATAAGATTTTGGATGTTTTACTGATGTTATTTTCGTGCCTACATTATAAATGCTAAAATTCAGAAATACAAGAGTCCTAAATTATGTCTTCTAGAAAAAGACTGCACATTTAATTTCACATCACTCTAACTAAAACACACATGAAAAAGAAAGCTCTGGGAATTATTACACAATGAACTGAATAGTTTGGACATATTAACAGGCTTCTCACCATTGTAGCCAAGTACGGTAGAAGCTAATACAATTGGACCAGCTGTATCCAAATCAACATCAGCATTCAGGGCACAAATATCATGCCTGAATTCACTCTTGATGCGGCCTGTTTTACTTCTGCAATTTAAAGGAAATCTCATATTAATATGTATATATACAGCAATCAATTTACTTACATCATTTATAAATAAGTTATTGCTGAGTATGATCCTAATGCTGTCGATTTTCATTCTACAATTTAAGGAAACTGTCTTAACCTTTAATGGATGAATGTATATATACAGGGCGTCCCAGGAGGAATGGACCAAACTTCAGGAGGATGTTCCTTGTGTTAAAGTATGCCGATATAACCCAAAACACCTATGTCCAAAGTTGAACGGTTACGGAGATAATGGCCAGAGAAGTGTCAAACTTTGACCGGTGTTACACACTTGTTGATTACAAAATACACATTAAAACTGGCAGGAATATGTGGATTCTGTAATGTTAGTTAGTTAGTTAGTTATTAGAGAGGGTGGGTTTCCCCTTGCACTTAGACCTGTAGTGGTCCATTGTGCTTCCCTCTATGATTTCTACCAGCCTCTATATCCTACCGGTATTGGTGCTTACCATCAGTCCCGCCCAGCCAGCGAGACCGGCTCTACTGGCTGAGAAGTATCTATAATGCTTCCCCCATCTACCGGAGGTATTAGTGACTGCTGTTGGGCGGCAAACGTCCGCAATTTTGCTCAGTGACCTCCTTTGGAGGTATGAGGTTCTTTTACGTGCCGTAAAGCTACGACACGGGACCCACGGCTTAAAGTCCCTCCCGGAGGACTTGTTCCCTGAATTTTTCCGCCCTTAAAAATTCGACGACCTCCGCTGGGTATTTGAACCCGCGTACTACGAGTCATGAGGTGGGAACGTTACCTCTAGACTACAGAGGCCGCTTATTCTGTAATGTTAATACTGTACGTAACGTCAAACTAACTTGTGAGTGACGTGAAGACATAAAATTGAAGTACAAAATATTCGCTCGCCATGTCATAATTGTCCTTAGGGTTTCCAAGCACTATACATGACACATGACTGGCAAGCACTGACGTAACATGGCTCACTGCGCTATAAGCCAACCACATA